TTCGACTGACTTGTCTTATACATATATAATATTAGACTTTTAATTTTACATAGTATAATGGTGTATTTTAAACATTTCAAATACTAGGGTTTTTAATCTAATTTAATATTTTCGAAAAATTAATACCTTTTAATTTTAAATTTTAAATTTAAAAACCTTGATTTAATAATTATCCAAAATTAAACAATTAATTTAAATTATTAAATCAATTAAGGATTATCCATTAAATTAAATTAATTAATTTAACCTAATCCTTTAACCCCTAGATTTCGAAAATGGGGAAGGATAATTACAAGATTTTATAATTATCTAGTAAACAATTAAAAGATAATTATCAAGTACAACTACCCTATCCAAAACCCTAATTTCGAAATCCATGACTTGGGGGGAAAGGCAAGGCTTTCAACCATACCTAATTTTCGAAAACCCTAGGGTTAGGAAACCCTAGATTTCGACTTTAAGGAGGACAAAGGAACGGGTTCAAAAACCCTTTACAATTTTTGAAACTAGGGTTATGAAACCCTAATTTGCGAAAAATCCAAGCCCTAAGGTTTAATTGCCATAAACCTTAATTTTGTCAAGTTCAATCTATTGTATCAAATCTAATTGAAAACAAAAACCATACGCTCTGATGTCACTGATGGGTTTTATACATAGCAAACAATCCTATGTGTGCATGCAACCCTAAATGAAGGATCTATGTTTTCTCTATTAGACATACAAGTATTGAACACAAATCTAGAAACCATAGGAGGCATGTACTATTTTTGAAACTAACATAAAATAAGGTTTAGATAAATACCTTGAATTGTTATGTAGTAATAACAAAGAATCCTTGAAGATCTTGAACTCTTGAGAGTTAGTGCCTCAAATGTGACACCTCTAATGGCTTACAAACAATCTATGCAAGAGGATGAGAGGAAAGAGGACGAGGAGGCATAATATTTCAGCTCTACTATGGTTTTGATAGCATGGGACGAAATCATGAAGGTTGGGGCTCTATTTATAGCTGATGTGGCTTAGATCCAAAGCTAGGGTTTTGAGGTGGAAACCCTAATCCCTTAGCTTAGGGCCTAAGCAGCCCATGAGCTCCCATTCTTAAGGTCGTGGATGAAAACTTATAGGGCCTCCCTATAATTTTCATCCACTCTTTCTTAAGGGGTCCAATAGCCCAATTTCACAACTATCAATTAATTGCAAAACAGTTCCTGTACTTTTAATCAGTTCCTTTAATCTCAAAACTAATTCCAAATTAATTTATGATTAAATACTAATTAATATTATGATTTCTAATTAATATATTATTCTTATAATATATTAATAAATCATTTTATGCACCAATTTATTATTCCAAATAATAAATTCAACCTCTCTCTCCAAAAGTCATCCTGTCAAGTTGCTAGACTGAAGGCAACCCAAAAGGACTGTGCTACTATCAATTCAAGTATATACCAATTACAATTATGGGCTTAGACACCTAATCCAAAACACTCTTGGTCAATCGATCCACGATGACCCATATAACATCAAAACCCTTGGCAGTCTTCGACAACTTGGTGATAAAATTCATGGTGATTTTTTCCCACTTCCATATGGGAACCTCCAAGGGCTGCAGCTTGCCATGCAGCCTCTGATGCTCGGCCTTGACCATCCTACAGGTCAAGCACCTCTTGACATACCATGTTATCTCCCTCTTCATACACGACAACTAGTAACTCAATCTCAAATCCCGATACATCGTGGTGGCTCCGGTTTGTATAGAAAAGAGAGACTTATGAGCCTCCTCCAACACTATCTGCCTGATGTAACTAGGAACTGGAACCCATAACCGACCACACCGAGTCAACAACCCCCGACTGTCGGTGACAAACCTGACGATCTCACCCTGGTCATTTCCTTTTTTTCCAGATCTCCTTCCTAACTCCCTCTGTCAGTGCCTCTCTGATCAGACCCAAAAGTGGAGAATCAATGGATATCCTCATACACATTTCTCCAACTAAAGATCCAGTCGACTTGCGGCTCAAGGCATCCGCTACCACATTCACTTTACCCGGATGGTAAAGGATCCCGCAGTCATAATCATTGACCACATCCAGCCACCTGCGCTGCCTCATGTTCAGGTTCGACTGGTCCATAATATATCGCAAACTCTTGTGATCCGTGTAAACGGTACAATGGGCCCCATAAAGATAATGTCTCCAAATCTTGAGGTCAAACACCATTGTCCCCAACTCCAGGTCATGAGTAGGATACCACGCCTCATTCGACTTTAGCTGCCGAGAACAAAGGGTATACAAACTAAGATACCTTATAGTTTGTTTACATAATTGAGGATGCAATACATATTTTGATAACTAGTTACCGAATCACTTGATCATAAGAGCGTCCATAATGGTCGAAATATGTTATAACTTAAAACTATCTGTGCACTTTATGTGGGAAGACTAATGGTGAAGAAGTAGATGTAAATGTATGGGAGGAAGCTCTTATCCCGAAATAGAGCTACACGTATTTGGGGTCTATGATTCATAAAATAGGGGTATCGAGGTACACATCACAGATCATATAAAGGTGGATTAGTTAAAATAGAGAAAATGATAAATATTTAAAATTGAAGTATAATAAAGTTGCACTGAAAAAACTATGTTATAGTTATAAAAATAAAAATGGCATTGAAGATATTATACAATTATTATAAATTTAATATTTTATAAATAAAATATTATTAGATTTAGTAAAACAAATTAATTAAAAAGAAATAATAAAATTTTAAATTTTAAATATAATAAAAGTGTAAAATACAATATTATTAAATGATAATGAATGTATTTATAAAATCTAAATTTTTTAAAACCAATCTATTTAGTAGTTAATGGAAAAGCAAAAAAAAATATTCAATCCAATGGTGTTGAATGACCAATCACATCATTTTTTGGAAAATAAACTTCTCTAACGATGGCTTTGTGGAAGACTTTCGTACACCGACTAATATACCGCTTCAAACATAAGGCTATGTCTCATATGTTAGAGTCACTGCAACAAACCTTCAAGGCCACAAGGACAGAGTAGTGACATGATTTAAACATGAGTCAATAGATTATTCACCACATTTTCCACATGCTTTAAATCGCCGCAACTCAAATGCTTCCAACTAAATATTAAGTAGTCAAAGAATGAGACTTAGATGATAGTCGTTACCATTAATTAGATATTACGTTTTTGTTAAGTTATCATGTCATGTTGCATTTTACTTAGCATATAACTTTATGAATAATATTGTATGTAGGGCATTGTTGGGTTATGAGAGATCTAAAAAAGCCACAAAGGCGCACAACGAAAACAACTTAAACATTAACCTCATAAACTAGACAATGATCTATGTTCTACCAATCAATTGCAACTTAAACTATAATAAGAAGGAAACTAGAATACATACATTTGTTGTTGTTGAAACATTCACAGATCTATATCGAATAATGAGTGCTAAGAGCCTAACGGAGAGACCCTCTTTAGTAGTCGCACCCAAGGACATAGCCCAACAACATCTCACTTCACCTATGGACGAACACACTGAACGCCATAAACTAGAAGCTAAAATCGACTCCTACGCGCCGCGTAATCGACTACAGGTTAGGGTTTCGAAATTGGGTTGGTATTGTCGAATACTAGGTTTTTTTGGAGAGAATTACATGATGATATTCAGCCTAGGACCCCTCTATTTATAGGGAACGATTAAAACCCTTAAAAGATAAATATTTGGTCACAAGATAATTATCCTTATGTTTGGTAATTATCTGACTTTCCAATTCCTTTATCTAGAACATTCAAGATCATCAGATTTTTTCAATTAATTAACAAATCAGGTCCCTATAATTTTCCAGTGTCATTAATTGTTTATTTTTGAATTTGTGTGTAACCTAAAAGGATCATACTATTAATAATAATATTTCCACTAAAAATAAACCAACATACAACAAGATCAAATACGGGGAAAATACAAAAATTTAAGACACATCAAGAGTTCACGCAGTAAAATGAGCTCACTATCATTCATCATGGTGAAAGGATGGATATAAATAACTTCAAATTAATAATAAAAACTGAAATATGGAAAAAAAATGTTACCAATTATAGTCCTTTATTTACTTCCAATAATCTTCTTCAATGCTTCAATATCATAAACTAGTTCCTTTTTACTTGATTGTAGACAAATGTTGGAGGCCTAGAATTCAAGCAAAATCAAGCGCAAATCAGTTCTAGGAAATTCAAGCACAAAGCCGTTCCTTTCAAGCAAAAAACAGTTCTAGCAAAATTAGATTTGGCGTGTGAAGAAGGGGGGATTTGTTATAGCTCTCAAGAAAATCAAGCACATCATATTTTTAGGTTGTTTGTTACAGTTCTCAAAGAAATCAGTACACGCATAAGGAAAATCAATGAATTGTTACCACGTTGGGGTCGCCGGAGGAAGGCGGAGGTGGATGGCGTTGGAGGAGGGCGGAGGTGGATGGCACTGGAGGTGGGAGGAGGTGGAGGTGCATTTTGGCATATGAAGAAGGAAGAGGGAATGCGTATTAGGGCAAAGGGGCATTGATGTCAAACTTTTCATGCAATGAACCCTCATATCCGACCGAAACATATGGTGTTGACCAATTCAAAGGTACGGAAATGAAACCTTTCGAATCTGATCGATTCAAAGTCTGTCTCTGCCTCTTAATGAAACCATTAAGATACTTACCAAACAACCCATTACTTGCATTGGGGTTACTCTAGTTGTTGGTCCTACTCCTTTGGGTGTTATTTCCTTGTTAACATTCTTGCGAGTTGTATCAGAATCATCTGCCACACAATACAACATGCTGGATTGTGTGGTTGTTGGGATTGCCAACTTTATCATTTCAACAATTTCTTTTATTAATATTTAATTATAATTATTTGATAACTACTTTTTGTTATTTCTAAAACCAATAATAAAGAAAATATGAAAACATATATTTATATTCACACATTATAATTTCAAACAAAACAATTTTAAAACTAAAACGAGCTTCCATGACTTATTTAGTTGATTACAGAAAACAAAATAATCAGAAAATAAAATGTGATATGTTACAAGAGTAACCTTTGTAATTTGTATTTCCACAACGTGGGCCCCCAACCCTTGTATAATTCTATTCGTATCTCCACCTTTGCAACCTCTTTCTTCCACAAATCTGCCACGACAATTTTGTTTTATTCAACTTTTGCCTCTACAAAAAGAACAACACAATAAGTAATTATTAATTAAGCCTTTCACTTTTATTTCAAAATTTCACATTAAAAGTTATGTCATTAATCATTATTTTTAACAACTATCATAACTTTCGCCTATGCTCATGATGTTTTTAGTGCGATTTATATTTTTAGCGAGTTAATCGTGATTGTTATTTATGATGACAATTCTTCCAAAATAATATTTTTTATGGTAGCATACTATTTAATACGCTATTGCTTTGTAAAAATATTTTATTAACGATAAGTTGCAATGACTTATTGGCTCTAATAAGAGGGTGATAAAAGGTTGGGACTTGGTAAGGTGTTGACTTAATCAGATCTTACTCAATCAAAAAACTATCAACTAGCCGCGAAAGTCTAATATAATTATTAATCCAACATAATACAACAATAAATGTACGAATTGTTTGTCGAAAAACTCATAGTCCCTGTGATCGTTTGAACCTTAGCCAAACAGGTTCTTTCTCACCGGGATTCAAAGGGGGTCCACTTGGAGATCCAGGGGTCTCCAACTCCCCTGGGTTTGCAGGGTGGCGACGACTAATGTTCGGCATCGGTGGAGCAGTCGGTATCACTCTCTCCTCAGCCTGATCAGGCTGAGGAGTTGTGATAGGAGCAACCGGATGAGGAGGTGGTGGCGGCGGAGTACTTCTGTCACCAAAGTTTTCATAATTTCGCGGCCCCTATACAAATTAAAAAAAAAATCATTAGAGTTTTGTACCATTATAAAAAGAGGGAAATTGATTGTTCACATTACTTGGCCCAATATGTAATTTTGTTCATTTTAATTGCCAAATTTTTTATGTAGCCTTAACCCATAATCACGTAATGGGCTATAAGAATGTCTATACAAATCTTCCCTATCCACATTTTTTTGCGATGTTTTAAATATAAATTTTGTTGTAATCATTCGATCAATCAATTAAAATCGCCACTATTAGTCTTCTAATTTTTTGTTGTCTTGATATCAAATTATTATCGAGTTAACTCGGTGTCACTTGTCTTTTAACACATGAATTTTGAGCGGATTTGTATCCTTGTCAAATTTGATACGGGCTTATCTACAATGCACGATATACAATTTTCACTATAGTAGTGTCGTTCCCTAGAATAGGCAATTATCATAATTTGTAATCCTTGTTGGTTAATTTTCAACCAACCTGTCGTTCCCTAGAATAGGCAATTATCATAATTTGTAATCCTTGTTGGTTAATTTTCAACCAACCTGCTTGTTTGGATGATATTAGATTATTTATATCAAATATCATCCAACTGGATGAGGAAGTGGGGTGGTGGCCAACATGAGCTGACCATCACCATGATTTGTAGAGCCTACGATTGGATGATTCTCATCCAATCAACGATGGTGGCTAAAAATGTAGAGGTTGGATGAACGGATCTTCATCCAACAGGATCTTGAACTAATTCAAGATCTATTGTAAAAACTATTTATTATATCTCCAAAGGTAATAACAAAGTTCAATATACACACAAAAACTGTATAAAAAACAAGTATCACCCTATCGACTTGACGACTTCTTTAGTTTTAGTTTAGTAGTTTTCTTTGAAAGAAACAAGGAAAAAAACGGTACCTCGGATCTTGGTCTTGTAGGTTGCGAAGCTATATACTGTAAAATCTCTAAAAATTTAGCGTGTCCCAACTCCGAGGAATTGTTCCAATAGTGAATCGCCACATCATACGCTCTCGCTCTCATTTCATTTAAATGTCTTTCTATATCGGTCTCATGTCGCGATAAAAATGGCCTCAACAAGGTTTCATATACATACCCTGTTCCCTAAAACACCCGTAAACTTTCCTTTTTTAGAAATTAAATTCAGTAAAATGTTATAGAACAAAATACAGTCATTTTTTTTACCTTGGTTTTAGGATACCATAAGTAGATAATAAGCCCTAGCTTCATTTCATAATACATTGGTACCCTATCGACACATTTTCCACACAATGATTTATATACATATAAAGAATAATCAAATAATCAAATAATAACAATTAAGTATACAAAAAGTTTATTGATACATACCATGAAACGAATATATCCGCGAATCTTTCAAAAACTGTAAGTATTGCGATTAGGACCCTGAAAAGAAATCATAAATTCATAAGCAACAAATCAAAGATTGAGACATGAACAAATAACTAATTAAAACAAAAATGGGAATATTTCCATTCTTGAATTTGTGGAAGATGAAAGAGAATAATGTTTTACCAATATTTACACCAAAATCTTAATTCTGCATTATCTGTACCACGTCTTTCAATGGTTTTAAAGCACTCAAAAGCTGGATATGCGTATCCAAGAATTAACCTGAACCCATGAACAAACATCAGAAAAGTTGACCTAAAACCCAATTTCGAGAACTTAAATCTTGTGATTTTTCGTGAGAAATTTGAGATTTGATGAATGGAAATTGCTTACACAAGAGTGGTTGTGAGGAGTCCTCCCAGCATCTTCTTACAATTTCTGCTAAATTGTCTGCAAAAATAGAAAGAAAGAAACAGGTTTTGGGATGTTCGTCAAATTTATCAACATTTTTGTAGAACTATAACCTAAATTCGATTCATACACAACAATGGTAGACGATTTTATAAAGTAATTCTGCTAATGAATTGAAATTATTTGAACAGTGAGAGGAGAATAGGAATTTGGATGATTATTACTTTTTTTGCTTTAATCTTTTCAGAAAGTATCCATAACCCAATTAATTCGAATCGAATCTGATTAGAAAATGAAGATAATCAACTCCAGTTAACTTCCATTCCCGTAGTGAGTGTACTCAGATTAGATAAACGCAATCAGAAAGAGAAAGAGAAGCACATTTTGTTGTAGATAAGATGAAACGATCTTTAATGGGGATCTCTTGATGAACAGGAAGAACATTACCTTTGTAAGCAGGAAACGATTCGTTGATGCTATCTGGGAATTTGAGCAGATCAATAAAATTAGCGAAATCGATCAGAGAAACTTGAAATGAAAGGATATTTACTGAAGAAGAAGATGATGACGATGATGAAGATGGTTGTTTTATGTATGAAACTATGGCTGGAGCTGTGTGTAAGTATTTAGTGAAGGGGCCCAATAAACGCACAGGAGACGACAAGGGGAGGGGATGTATGCTTGGGAGATGGTGATTGCTGATTACATTGCTTATTTCTCAACTTCAAAACTTATTTATTTATAATTTTCATGATTAGGTACCAAAGTTTATAACTTTGAAAAAGTTTAAAGATATATTATACATCTCCAATGATAAATTGAAGTTAATGATTTAAAAGATATTGTCATTCACAATTTTATTAATTTTGATCTTTAATTATTATTTTTTGTAATAATACTTTTTATGAGTTTAATTAATTCATCTAGGTACATCTAAAATATACATGAAAACCCTTTCATTTAATTAATTGTTTTTAAACACAATATATTTTAATAAATATTTAAATTTTACTGTGGTTTGTAATATATAAACGTTTATAACATTTAAAAGAAATAAATATGTATCAAAAATAAAAATTATTTAAAACTAAAATAAAATTAAGAGGTAAATATAATATTATTAAAAAGAAAGAGGTTACATGGATAAACAAACCATTATTGTATATTGACTATAGTGGTCAATATGTAAAACATAAAAACTTATCCCTACAACAGTATTGAGTGTTCAATAGAAAACATAAAAAATTTATCATCTCCCATGGACAATGGTGTTGAGTGATGTTAAGAAGTCAAAAAAAAAAAAAGTTTGCATCGGAGATGCTCGAAGGATTTTCTTTTTTGGAACGAAAATGCTCTAAAAGTTATCTTTAAAAATAAATGCAAGTAATATTTTGTAGATTGACAACAACAATCATATACTTCAAAGATGTGGTTCTCAACATGGTATGTTGCCGTAATCATTATAAACAAATTTTCATAGATGGTTCTTAAGCTTTTTATGTTTGTCTTTAAAATAATCTTTATTAAATCTTTTTTGTATGGGTAATCCTTACGGAACAAACCTTACATATAAATGGTCCTTATCAATGTCAGTTAGATGGATTCGTTAAATTGAAAGAATTTTGAATAATGACTATTTTTTGCCATTTTGTGAGACTTGCCTAAAGATCATTTGTGAAATTTCGTTCAGGGATCATTTGTAAATTTTTAAATAAGTATTTTAAATCTTGTGTTAATTACCATAAATAAAATTAAAAGGCAAAAAAAACTAAAACATAGAAAATAAAATATTTGTAAATTAAAACTTATAAAGTTTAATCACCATGCAAATATCTTTTATTTAATATATAAATACTTTTTGTATGTATTTTATCTAAAATATTCAAACTACAATTCATTATTATATATATTTGTTTTCTATTTTTTATCAAAAAATATTTGAAGTATAAAAAACATCATTTTATTATTATTTTTAATTTTTACGATTTATCTTTATTTTTATTATACATATATATTTATTTTATGAAAAATTATGACGTGTTATTATTAAAAAAATGCCTTATTATAAAAATAATAATATGTTGCTATTTTATTTAAAAAAATAAATATGTTGTTTTGAGTTAAAGATAAAAATATGTTTCGATTTCGGTTTCGTAATATAAGTACGGTAAATTTTCTATTAGTTAGATACAAAAACTTTTAATTTTAAATTTTTAAAAGTTATTTAGTTTTATCAAATTTTGAATAGATTCCTTAATAAGACATAAATTTTTTAATAAAATTTTTTAAAAAAATTAGCTAATAATTAACTACACTGCTACATATGTTAAAATAATTAACCATATGAATAATATGACACTAATTTCGTTTACTTAATTTTATTTAAAGGAAAATAAAAATATTTTATATGTTAAAAAGGCTTGTAATTTAGAAATAATAACCTATCATATTTTTATAGAAATAAATATATTTCTATAATAACTTATACAATTATATTTATATTTTATATGATTAAAAGGTTTATGTTTATGTTTCACAAATGATAACTTATACAAATATATTTTTTTATAAAAAATATGATACATTATTTTTTGTGAAACACAAACCTTTTAAACATATAAAATATTTTATTTCCCATTATATAAAACGAATTAAACATAAGTTAATGTCATATTAACATGGGGAAATATTCAAAAAAGTTCCAATATTTTGAGAAATTTTTTTAATAAAGTCCTAAATTATATTTTTTGAACAAAAAAACCCTGACTTTTTAACTTTTTGAATATTGTGACTTTTCTAGAGATTTCCCTATAGACATGTGTAGGCATGTAGCAACGTAGTTAATTATTAGCTAACATACATTTTTTTTGAAAAGTTTATGTCTTTCTTAAGGAATATATTCAAAATTTGATAAAGCTAAATAACTTTTTAAACCTTAAAATAAAATGTTTATATCTAACCAATGTAAAATTTATCGTAGTTATATTATAAAACCAAAACTGAAACATATTTTTAACTTTAATTCAAAACCACATATTTATATTATTAAAATAACATAGCAACATATTATTATTTTTATAATAACACATCATATTTTTTTCATAAAAATAAATATATTTGTATAATATAAAAGAAGATAAATCTTAAAATTTAAATCATGTAAAAATTAAAAAATAATAAAATAATGTTTTTATACTTCAAATTTTTTAGATAAAAAAATAGAAAACAAAACTATTTAATGATGTGTTGTAGTTTGAATACTTTATATAAAGTCTAGACAACAAAAATTCTTTATATGTCAAATAAAATATATTTACATTATAAATAAAATTTATAAGTTTTAACTTTTTATCTATAAAAATACTAGTTTATAACCTGTGAGAACCACGGTTATGAAATTAATTAAACTTTCATATTAAAAAATCAAAATTATTAATCAATTATTTTAAATAAATTATTACTTAAGAAATTTTTTTTAGTTATATAAGATTGTAATCCTTGATTTAAATAAATACGTGAAGTTATATCACCTTATAATCAGTATTAATTTAATTTTATTTTTTAATCTAATGTTATTAATTTAATATAATTAGAGTGAAAAGATTTAAAATTTGAAATTTAAAATGTAGAATCAATTAATAATTTAATATAATTAAAGTGAAAAATTTAAAATTTGAAATTGATAATTAATAAATTGACAGGTGACATGATATGTAACATACAATATTAATGAGAAGTTCTAATAGTATAACACTTGGAAATATGAGAATAAACCTATTTATTTATTAGAATAGAGAAGATTACATTTTCTATGTTTTAGTTTTTTTGCATTTTTAGTAATTAATACAAGATTTAATATACTTATTTAAAATTTCACAAATGGTCATTGAACGAAATTTCACAAATGGTCCTTAGGCAAGTTTCACAAAATGCTAGAAAAATGTTCATTATCCAAATTCTTTCAACTTAACGGATTCATCTAACGGACATCCACAACAAGATTTGCTCCATAGGGACCATCCATGCAAAAAAAAAAAAGGTTTCGTTAGGACTATTTTAGGGACAAACGAAAAAGCTTAAGGACCTTATGTGAAAATTTGTCTTAGTTGTATATTTTAAACAATTATTTAATAAATAAATCTTAAATGTTATATTCGTATATGATTAGCAAATGAAAGAATTGGAGCTGATTTGAGCTGATAAGGGCGAACACGAAAAACAGTCAAAACTGAAGAAGCGTGTCGCACCTCTTTAATAAATGTGTCGCACCCCTGCTGACGAGTTTGTGTATATTGCGGATTCTTGACTTCCAAGACGCAACAATGACCTGGTAGTGAATATTATTCGTTCAAAAACCTTTTTGGGCTGATTTCAAGGTTGGAAAAACACTTTGGAGCAAATATTTGAAGAATTGGAAGCTAGGAGCATTTAAAAATTGGTTTGCTTTATGATCATGTTTAGCAATTCCTTTTTTATGTTTTTATGTTTTTATTTACTGGCTATGGGGGTAATATTTTTGGCTTCCTCCACCTCAATTAGAATAAAAAAAAATGACTAAACAAGCACATACAAAATAATTGGTAAATCATGATGTTAACGGTATGGGTAACCAATAAAACATGTTATAACCTTTGTTATAACAAGTCATAATGGTACATTTTGACAAACATTTACCCTCCATTCCTGATATCGGGATTCAAGTCTCGTCTGATCCATATGTGGAATTAAGAGTAGATTAGATTTTTCGTTCTTAAAAAATGAACACATACGTTATAGTTGGTTGCTAAATCATGATATAAATCCTTATTATGGTTATAATCTAGCTTTTAAATTAAGTTATTTCGAAGGTCTATATATTTATACATGTTTAAAATCAAGTAGGGGTCTAAAATCGGGAAATCTTTTCGTGTTTTTGTCTGACACTATACGACAAGTCAATTTTGTATCGAGTTTTGAACACAACACGACGTCGTGTTTTTTACACTTGACACTTGACACAAATTCGAATTTCGATTTCATCCAAATTTCTTTTCATATCATGTATTTTCGTCATGACGTATCATTGATTGACACCCTAAAATTTGAAACTCCTTGATTTTGTTCAAAAGAATGAGTTTCACACTTTGTTTCGATATTAAGGTGGAAAATGAAAGTATTTTGCTTCCTAAACATGTTTAAAATAGTGCAACAAAAACGTTTTAAAGTTCGAGCCTCAAAGATACAAGGATTTGGCGATTGTAACAGGTAACCGTCATACCATTTTTCACAAAAAGGGCAATTGCTATAAATCTCCAAATCCTAATTTTGTCCAGTATTTCGAAGGTCATCCGTTAAAAATAACAAAAAATTTATACCATGATAATTATATTTAATCAAAATTTCTAGATATTAACAAAACATGACCTAAAGATTGTTCCATTTTTTTTTATAAAAGTAATACGGTTGCATGTATTACAACATATATATCTTAGGGATGCCATTGATATAGTTGATTATAAAACAACGTTAAGATCTCAGTTTTCATATAATTCTTTGTCATGAAACACCGAATTCATTGCATATTTTGTATCGATTCTTTATACACAAATTTACTTCTTAATTTAATTTTAATGTTATTTATTTATGTGTGATAGGTGTGTGTCACACCTTTCTATTTTATGAAATATTTTAAGAGGCCTTTTATTTTAATTGACCTGTACCCAAGCCTCAAGAAATATAAAACGCACGCTCTCAGCCCTACTCCGCCTGTCGCCGCCGGTAAAAAGGTAATCATGCATTTTTTTTAATCTATTATTATTTGTTATTTGTGGATTGCTAAAACTTGGTTATTTGTTTGTTTGTTGTTAATTGTCATATGTGAGTGCATAAAAAGTGAAATTTAAATTGGGGTTTGTTTATCGGGAGAATGTCAATCTGGTTTAAATCTTTTGTCCATTGTTAATTGTTAAAATTAACATATATGGTAAGAAACTTATAAACCTACTTATTCAAAGTAGCAAACATTTTTGTGGTTTGATGGTTAAATATCCATAGGTTTAGTTGATGCAAGGATCTAAACACCCAAATCATGGTGCCTTTCCTAAACAACCGAGCACACGACTTTTTGTCGTTGTTAAGGATAAATTAAGAGCAATCCTACATTGCAACACGAGTGTTTCCACATAAAGACCTAATGACATGGAATATATTTGCATAAAGATGCAGAGAATTCAATAAGACATGCACAAAAAATTGATACTTGTTACTAGATACGGGCTTCGTGTAGAGTCCCGCGAGGTGTTATGATGAAAGATGTACATGTTTCTTAAATGCCTACAAATGTTACCACCACATGCAAATGACAAGCACGAGTGAGGAAATAACCATGTTTCATATTGATAAGGGCACTTTTTATCATCAAAAGATGTTTGAACTCAAGAATGACATGGACACAATCTTCGGTCTTCAGAAAGGCCATAATTATCTACATTGGTGATATGGTCATCAAAAATCCTTGAGGAACAAACATTCCTTAAAGACACTACTTTTTCTCGCCTCATGAGGCCAAATGCATCTTTAGATTCGAGGGAGTAGAGTTCCACTTATACACTACTACCGGGGGTACACAATCCTCAGATAACGTTAAAGAGATGCAAGTGTTAGAAAAATGACCATCTGAGGATGTTTCTTGTCAGTACCATAATAAATAAATTGAAAATGTATATACATGAAAGACAAAAAAGATGTTTGTTGTCAGTATCATAATAAATAAATTGAAAATGTATACATGAAAGACAAAAAGGCCGAAGCAGAGACAACTTTCTCAAAGCTCAAATGGAGCCTTCGATCTACTTACCAGCAACTAGGAATCTAGGGATGACAATTGATAACACTACACGACAAAAATACATGACACGTAACGAAATTGAGACGAAACTGAAATTCAAATTTATGTTCATGTCAAGATTGAAAAACATGATGTCATGTCATGTCGTGTTTGTGTTCAGAATTCGACACGATTTAGCATTTGTTTCTCGTGTTTGTCGTGTTATGTATGATTAAACATTACTTGAATAAACTAATTGGTATTTTATGTTATCTTTGTCGTGTTGTGTTTGTCATTTTTCAATTGGTTCGCTTTCGTGTTAGTTAAAAAAAACACTATCGTATCATGTCTGTATTATATAAAATATTGTCGTGACGTGTCAGACAAAAACACGACACAATTATCCAATTTGTCACCCCTACCAGCAACACATAAGGCCATTAGTGTCCACTCTTGACTATGGGCTAAACAAAATAAGCCCATTTTACAGGTCCAGGTCCAGAGAGCTGAATTACCCACCTTCTTTGAAGGTAAAACCCATTTACCCTATAAATATCTAAAATAAATTAATATGACTTAGGTTCATACACAAAAATATGTGCCATTAATGATCTTATACTTGTTATAAATTTACAACATGGTCCCTATTTTTAAAACAGGAGAATGCTAAATCCTATGGGATATTTACACTTGGGCTTGAGTCAAGTGTCAGTTAGTAGTTTTCATCTTTTATAATAGACAATATCTTGTTCCAAAACGTTTCATGTTGATCAAACCACAATGTAGTACTTTACCAAAAAACATGTACGAAACACCATTACGATAATTAAAAGATCATTTAGCAGGAAAAATAATATTGTATATGGAGATATCTACATGATTTTAGTAATCAAATGCATACAATATATAGATAATCCTTGTATCCTTTTTCACTAACAATTTTGTTTTCATTCTTTCCATATTTATCTCCCATTCTAAAGTTTTGGTGTTCAAGTTCAAATGTACTTGTCTCTTTCTCCACATAGAAATGTCACAAATTTTGGATTCATTGAGTTAACTCTTGCAAGTTGCAAATGCATGATAATAGATGTATTCACAATTTCATGTTACCTTCATCCAGAATATATGAGCACATGCCTTTGAGTCATTACATTCCATTATCATATTTGGTTGTCCAGTTGGAATGGAACATGAAAATACAATGTTTAATTTTAACTCTACTCAGTAGAAATTAAAATTGGACTTTTCTATTTACACAAATAAAACCACTGTTTTCGTTAAATTTCCCAATTTTACCTTGAGATGTATATATATACAGTTATATAATAGCAAGAGCAACTAGTTTAACTTGAAATTTAACTATGTTTAATATCATAAACAATAGATGTCAATAACTAAACATGGAAAAGGAACCTCACTATAATGTTTAAACCAATTTTGATAAATTAGACTCTAGAAAGCACACTTATTCAAGTATAAAACATAAGCAATACTTTTGATGATGAGAATATAAAATCAGCAGGGGATAGGATATAGATACTTCATGATCTTCCATTTCATACAAGATGGTGATCAAAATTGGCAAAACTGATAGGAGAAAAAGGGAAGAATAGCAACAGAGGCACATAGCTAACATCTACAAGGTAACATTAGACATGATTTTAAGTTTTAGAGTTCAAGAAGTTGCTTCTCATCTAACCTCATATTTGATCATTTGAAAGCTTGATGCAGAATCAGCAGAGTTCTTCTGAATCCTGTTCCTCCTGAAGAAAAGAACCACAAAGATCACAAGTTATACACAGAAAGATCCTTCACTAACCAGTAACCACAAAGCATGCTACTTTTTGCAAGGTGTCAAAGAGTGAATAAGCCTACCTCTGTTACAAAATGTCCAAATCTGAATAATATACTCCGTGCCCAACATTCAAGCTTTCAGACTTCACCTCAACATCTCTCCAAACCCTTGTGGTTGTCAAACTCACAAAAACAATGTTACTGAAAGACAAAAACTGCCCTAACTTGAACATATCCCAACACCTTAAACAAGAATCCATGGTTTCAACATTCACCAGATGAGAGCGTATATTCAGTTACACCATCTCCAACAAAATCATTTCAATCAGAACCACAAGAACAGCTATAACCTCAACTGTTTATATATGTTAGTATGTTGTTGTGTGTGTACATGTATAATTGATTAATAGTAGTATATCAAGTGTGCAAAATGAAAAGACCCCGGATAAAAGGAATATCAAAAGGAGAATGATATTAAAAAGCCAACAAATATACAACTGTTGATTTGCTAATAGGATTAAAAGGGGAAATTCTACTATCTACCATGATGAAAACATTTCAGAAAACCTCTAACCCATAAAGAACGCCAGCATATTTCTCATGCCCACCGCTGCAAAGATCCCTAATCTTCTGAAAGGTGTGCCATGTCAGTAAGCTATCTGACCCGGCCTGATGAGATTTACCGACTGCCCTCTCCACCTCGAGGGTCTTAGCCACCCGATCCAAACCACCATAAAGACCTTCGCAATACCTCATCAGGTGCTTAACATCATACACCTTATCCCCAAAGAAAGTTTTCAAAAGCTCCATAAACAACGTCATTTCATCGGGTAAACCTCGCCCAGTCAAGATCTTAACCAAGTACCCGAAATCGTAAGCACTGTGAAACGTAACCCAGCTCACAAGCTCGTTACAGACCAACCCCGACGACATCATCAGCTCAGAGAATTTGACCGAGTCTATCCCGTAGTCGTGATTCTTCTGAAAATCAATCCCTTGTCGCTTCAGCAGCTCGATCGAGTCAGAAGCGTACTGATCCCGTGACGGATCAAAATCCTTGAAGTTGAACTCCCATATGAAACGGGTTTGGGAGTCGGTTTCGCCTAGATCGGGGAGGTTTCCGTTCGCATCGGTGAGGGTTAGACCGACCTGGATAAGTTTCAAGACATCAACATTAGATTTGAGAAGGAGGTAGTGGTCGGAAGGGGTCTGTTGAAAGATGTAGTTGTAACCGGCGTTTGGGCGAACAACGACGCCCGGAAACTCCGTGTCCATTGAAACGTAAGGGTAATCGTCGATGATGGATTGAATTAAGCGAAATTCCGGTTCTAGGTTATAGGCCCACACAGATCGTATCACAATCGGTGGCGATGGTGATGAACAGCCCTTGCTAGACATGATAACGACCGTCGGATCTCCAGATCGATGTGAATTTTGGAGAGATCTGAGTATGACGATCTACAAAGGCGGTGATCGGCGGGCGCTAATGGTTGATTCGGATTAGGGTTCGTACAATAATATTTATAAGCAGGTTGTGTGTGAGAGAGACAGGGGAAAAAAAGGACGTGTTTGAGTGAGTGGGGGAGGAGAGAGAGTATTGTTGCAGGATCTATAGAAATATAATAAATAAAATGATTTTGACCAAAATAACTATATTTGTTAATTACATACAAACATATAACAAAAAGATTGTTCAGGGAGAATTATAATAAGTTTGAAAGTGTCAGTTTTTAAAGGGTTAATAATATAAAACATTTCAGATTTTCAGATTTCTTATGTTTAAATTGTTTTAAAAAATGATTTTTAAAAAGTCCTCATATCTTTTCAAAAACATTTGTATACCATGTGTCGGATAATTGATAATTTTATCATTAAATATTTTTAAAAAAATTATCTTAAATTTTGTTTTCATTCGGATCAACTTTTCAATTTATCTTATAATTCTCACATTCTTCTTTATTTGCTTACACGGTTTTGGGTGGTTTCTAACATTAAAACTTGAAAAGAGTATCAGATTGTTTTCTCATAAGAAATGTTGTTATATCTAATTTTTGTTGGCAAAATAATATCAAAATCTATTTACGGGGTGTTTAAAGATTGTTGTAGTGAAAGAACATATGTCTAGGTTGGCGTGACATCTTAAATTGTTTTCAACATCAAATAGAAATAAAGCTCTCAAACTCGAATATATGTTTGAATTTAGTTTTCATTTGATGTAATCAATAATTTCATTATATTCATTTGAGAATCAATTTGTCAAAGAAGTTACTTAAGTATTGTTATTCATTTTCAAATTAGCATATGCAAAACCTGATGGGTTTTAGCCAAAAGAACATTCTATGTGCTCATGCAAACCCTAAAGCTTGGATCTAGGTTTCTCTATTGTACATGCAATTCATCCAAGACTTAAGAACCCTAGATCTAGCATACATATTTCAAAATTAACATATGAAAACATATCTAGATGATTACCTCTTAAACAATGACTTGAATCTTCTTGTCTTGGAGCTTAGAGTCACAAGTGTTACTCCTCTAATGACTTACAAACACCACACAAGCAAGAGGATGATACTGGAGAGAGGGGAGAGGCACAATTTCAGCTATGAAACTCTCTAGGGTTTCAAGTGGCCGAAAATTGGATGCCTTGGGGTCCTATTTTGAAACATCCCAAAATACGACCCAAAATTTTTTGTTTTAATATTACTAAAAATCACATCATCGAATGACATACGTACTAAGAACCATAGAATGAGTAACTCAAAAGTCAAGTAACTGTGTCAAAACAATTACTGTATCGATCACATCAAAATATCTGAATAAAACTCCCAGGATAAAACTGAAGCTGTGGTGTGTGCGATGCCATCAACCCGAGCTCTTCCCCTTACTAGCGGAAGTACCTGAAACCAAAAACTGAAACTGTAAGCACAAAGCTTAGTGAGCTCCCCCAAACTACACATACCATACAATAACATATAAAGCAACTACTGGGCCTTACCCACTGCATCGGACCGAAGTCCGGAAACTGCATCGGACCGAAGTCCGGGACTAACCAGGGCCTTGCCCTCTGCATCGGACCGAAGTCCGGAAACTGCATCGGACCGAAGTCCGGAACTGACTGAACATAGCATAGCATAATCATAACTACTAGCATAAACATAGATACTGTATACTGCATCGGACCGAAGTCCGGAACACATAACACAAAGACATGCTTGAATCACAAAGACATCAAGCACACTGAACTACTGCATCAGACCGAAGTCCGGAACTACTGCTAACTAAACGGGCCGACATTGTGGCCGTAGACCCGTTCCTATTGGAAGGAAACTCACCTCGTAACGCTGGCTGCTGAGGTGCTAAATCTGGAACTGTCTGACTGCTGCTCCGGAACTCCCCGGCTACAAATCCCATAAACACTAAATCAGATACTGATAACTAATCTCAGGGTAAAATGACTATTTTACCCCTGGTCAAAGTCACCCTTCTGCCCAAAGTCAACTCTCAGTTGACCTGACTCGCCGAGTTGGGCCGCCAACTCGTCGAGTCCCTGTTCTCATATCTAATTCTCTGCCCGCTACTACTCGTCGAGTTTAGCATAGGCTCGACGAGTTCCACTTCGATGCTAATGACCAGTCCATCTTCAACTGACTTAACGAGTTGTATGAACAACTCGTCGAGTCTGTTCTTAAGGCAAGAAGATTGCCTTGGACTCGCCGAGTCAGGACGCAGAATCGCCGAGTCCCTCCATTGCTAGATCTACGTCTCAACTCACTGAGTCCAATTCTCACTCACTGATTCCACTTGCAAACTCTCAAAGGGGAAATATCGGGGACTCGCGACTCGACTCGCCGAGTCAGAAGAGCGACTCGCTGAGTCCTTAGCATGCCATTACTATTCAGTCGATTCTGCTCGAAGCCAGAGCATTCCATTCATAGATCTGGACTCCTAGGGCTGGTTTTTCACGTAAAGTTTCTAACTTTACGTGCATGCATGCTAAAATGAAGCTAAAAAGCCCAAAACAAGCTAAAGGAAGGGATCTAAGCTTAGAATGGAAACTTGGCTCAATAAAGGTGGCAACCTTGAGCTTAATAGGCTCTGGAAAGCTTAGATCTGAAGTCCATTAATCATATTAACACTTAATTCGACCTTAAAGTCTAGAAAGGGCTCAAAATCCACAAAAGTAAACTTCTCAAGAGATCTAATTGATAATAAGTAAAGATTCGAGCTTGATACCTCAAAGAGGACTGAAATGCAACCAGAAATCCGGATCTACTTGCTTCCCTTGAATACTTCTCTTCTCTCTTCTTCCCCTAAATCTCCAAATGCACCAAAAACGTTCACAAGAGAGAAAATGCTCCAAAAATGCTTAAGGACGGCTAGGGTTTCGTATGGGACTCTTTGTGGGTGAGGGAGGCTGGTCCTGGGGCACATAAAGTGTTTAAATAGGGTGCAAACCCTTAAAATTAGGGTTTCATCCAGACTGGAAGACTCACTGAGTCCGGAGTATGGACTCGTCGAGTTGCCAACTTAAATCGCGTGCAACCCCCGACTCTACTCGACGAGTCGGGCTACTGACTCGTCGAGTACCTCTTAAGGAAATCAAAACTACTTGATTAAATCACATACCAGAAAATGGGGCGTTACAATTCTCCCCCACTTATCTTAGACTTCGTCCTCGAAGTCTGCTGCTACTGAATTTGAGAATAACTCTGGATAATGCTCCCTCATCTCCTCCTCGGCCTCCCACGTCCACTCTGAACCCTTTCGGTGCTGCCACTGCACCTTCACTAACTGAACCACCTTGTTCCTCAAGGTCTTCGTCTTCCGATCCAAGAGCGCAACTGGTCTCTCGATATAATTCAGGTTGCTATCAACCTGAATATCCTCCAAGGGTACAATTGCTGACTCGTCCACCAAACATTTCCTCAACTGAGAAACATGGAAAGTGTTGTGGATCTAGCTAAGCTCTGCTGGAAGATCCAACCGATAAGCAACCCGACCCACCCGGGCCAAAACCCTAAAAGGACCAATGAACCTGGGGCCCAGCTTGCCCCTCTTCCGGAACCTGATAACACCCTTCCAGGGTGATACCTTCAGGAGGACCATATAGCCCACCTGAAACTCCAAATCCGAACGCCTCCTGTCGGCGTAACTCTTCTGCCGACTCTGCGCAGTCTGCAGTCTGCTACGGACTTGCTGGATCAACTCTGTGGTCTTGAGTACCACTTCGGTACTCCCCATGACTCGCTGACCGACCTCGCCCCAACAAATCGGGGTCCTACACTTCCTTCCGTAGAGCATCTCGAAAGGAGGGCGGTCAATACTAGCGTGGTAACTGTTGTTATACGAAAATTCCGCTAATGGAAGATACGTATCCTAACTGCCACCAAAATCTAGGACACATGCCCGTAGCATGTCCTCGAGAGTCTGAATCGTCCTCTTTGATCTGCCCGTCCGTCTGGGGGTGGAAAGCGGTGCTAAAATGAAGACGAGTCCCCATCTCGTCATGAAACCGCTTCCAAAACCTGGAAGTAAAACTGACGTCTCGGTCTGATACTACTGATACAGGCACCCCATGTCGTGCCACTACCTCGCGCACATAGATATCGGCTAGCTTCTCGGCCGATATGCTCTCCTAAATCGGTATGAAATGCGTGCTCTTGGTCAGCCGATCCACTATGACCCAAATCGAGTCAACTCCACGTACGGTCCTGGGTAGCTTAGTGATGAAATCCATAGTGATATCCTCCTATTTCCACACAGGAATGTCTAACGGCTGCATCTTGCCGTGGGGTTCCTGGTGTTCTGCCTTGACCTTCCTGCAGGCCAGGCATCTCTCTACGTACTAGGCTACGTCCCGCTTCATGCAGGGCCACCAATAATCGGGTCGAAGATCTCTATACATCTTCGTCGCCCCTGGATGGATGGAGAACCGGGACTGGTGGGCCTCATCCATCAGTACCTGTCGTACTCCTCCCCAGTATGGTACCCATACTCTCCCATGAAGGGTCAACAATCCTCGACTGTCATAGTCAAAGGAAGCTACTCGTCCCACAATCCTCTCACACTTCTGCCTTTCCTCCTTCAGGCCCTCAACCTGTGCTTCTCTGATCTGCTCCAACAATGGAGTAATCACTGTCATCCTCAGACATACATCCCTGATCGGGGCTGCTACCGCCTTGCGGCTCAAGGCGTCGGCCACTACGTTGGGCTTACCTGGATGATAAAGGATCTCACAATCATAGTCCTTTACCACATCTAACCATCTATGCTGCCTCATGTTTAGATTCGGCTGGTCCATGAGGTACCTCAGACTCTTGTGATCCGTGTAAATGGTACATCGGACCCCATAGAGGTAGCGTCTCCAAATCTTGAGGGCGAACATCACCGCCCCCAGC